TTTTAGGAGAAAAATTTTAGGTTTAAGTTGACATTTTTATTAGAAATTTGGGATTATATTCCCGAAGGGCGAGGACTTAAAGATCTAAAAAGAATCTGTCTCAGAACCTAAATCTAATTTTCTTTCTTGCCATATCTAAATAAAAGAATAAATAAACTTTTTTCAAAAAACGTATTTCTATTTTTAAACATATTCTATAGAATTTCATGTTCATCTTTTGAGATGATATGTTATTCTTTGAACTATATTTGATTATATAAATATTAATTTTCAAAACCCTATTTTGATATTGAATCCATTGTAGAATATTTTATCGGCCTCTCGAGACCATACTTTATTCTCAATGCAGTATTCGATTACAAAATAAGAAAAATCAAAATCTGCGTGGTGACATAATTTTTCCCACCACCATCATTACCAGTAGATTGGTTTACAAACCAGAATGTGCCACGTGTCCCTCCCGCCAGCGCCAGCACCACTATTTTGATATGTTTTTTAATTTAATTAATTTTAAACCATTTAATTATCATAATCTTATAACAATCAAAGAAATTTAATTTTTCATCCAAAAATCAAGTTTAATATATCATTTTGCTCAAAATTTTACGTATTTTTTTTAAATTATTTTATATATTTTAAATATATTCAAATATTAATTATTTGGCATTTAAATTATATGTTATTAATTATAAATCTAAATAATTTTCAAATTTAGAGAAACTTTTTTTAATATAGGTTTTAAATTCTAGTGATTTTCCAAAATTATTTAAATTTTATTGTAGTAAAAATATTTTTTGAATTTGCAAAACCTAAGTTATGTTTTATTATTTAAATATTAAAATTATTTTATTTAATTGTATTTTCAAATCATTGTCATGTATTTAAGTGAGCTATGAATTTTTTAATAGAGATTTATCATAATTGAATGGATTTTTTGCGGAGTGATTAGTGAGCAATTATGTCATATATAATTGGTCACTCGTTAAGTTTCTAATTATCTATGGTATTCTTTTAATTTTAATTTTTAGGAATGCATATGCACCTAATTTTTGGTTTGATTGCATGGTGTGACTGATTGTGCTGATGTCTTTGGGTTAGTAACTTTGATTCAAAACCTACACAAGCTAGTGACACCTAAGGATAATAATTAATGACACATCTTAGAAATTTTAGAAAAATCTCAGAAAATTAAATATACATCCAATAGAGATGAAATTCAAAACACTTAAATTTCGTGACATCCTCTACCTTAGGATGAATTTTCACTTATTTTAAAAATCATTAAGTCAAATATTTAACTAACTTAAAATTAATTCATTAATTAAGCTTGAAACTTCAAAATAATATAATAAATTTAAATTAAATCATAAAAATAAAAATAATATGTCAAATTTATCAAAATTAAACTCTTAATTCAAGAAAATTAAAAGAAACTTGACTAGACTTCAATTTTGAGCTTAATTTAATTTTCAAGAAAAAAATAATATTTAATTAATTTAATTATTTAAAAATATTAAAAAATTCTAAATAATTCTCAATCAATTGAGAACACTCCTATGAGTTATTCCTTACCCGTAGGCAATTTGGATCAAAACTTTTAAAATCCCTTTCAATTAATAAATTAAAAATTCAATTGAATACTCAAATTTCATAAATTCATAACTAATTTCAAAAAATTCTAAATTGAATAAACTTAAAGGCGTTAGACTCATATTAGGGTGTAATATTTATTAAAAATGTAGAATCACCATAAATAAGTAAAAGTAAAAAAGCTAATATTTTGGTCAATTATAGTTCAAATTTGAGTCAATTAATTAATACTTTTAATCTTTAACAAATTAAATCAATTAATTAATACTAGATAACCTTAGCCTATGAGACTACTAACATAGCCCCAAAAAGAGTGAAATACACTTCACGGTCTTGGTATAAATAAAGGTAGTAATCGCTAAACATTTAAAATATATTTTAAAATCAATATTATAACATTAATAGTTAAACTCAAACAAAAATCCCTTAAACTTTTCAACCAATTAAAATACTAGACAATCTTAACAAATTACCCAGCAAAGAACATATCCAAACCACATGGTCTACTGCACACACTTAAGATAGTTTTGTATGACAACAAACTCTAGTTATAGGCTAGGCAAGTGTTTACTTTCCTGCTATTTGTGTGCCAAGTTTTCAATGGTTTTTAATGCTCATTTAAAATTGAATGATTGATATAATGCTCTATGATGTGTTAATTTTAATTATGCAATATACGAATTGATGTAATGGGTGTTAGTTTACCCTTAGGTTAGGAATAATCCAGATGTTCATAGAATTTTCTATAGATGGGCATGCTTATATAGGGCTAAGTTAAGGGGAAAATTTTAAATTTAAATTAACAATTTTTATTTTTATTTTGCAGATATTGAGTACTCTAAGACCCCTTAAAATTAAAAATGCACGACCAACTGTGGATGTGATTAGAAATTAAGCAATTTAATATATACAATTGCCTGGGATATGCTAATGATTTCAATATTAATTTCTTAGTATAATCTTGCAAGTGTTATAGAGAATTTTTTAGATTTAATATAATTTGATTAAATTCAAGTGTTGTAACATGTAGTTTTGAGGTGGTATACCAATTATCCATGTTAAAATACAAAGAGAAGGGTAACATCCTTTATGGGAGAGTTCATATTCCTTTGGAAATTCAGGCTATGATACTTTGAAAATCCAAAGAAAAAAGAGAACACTCTTTCGGGAAGGAGTTTCTTTCATTTGGATACTCAAACCCGATGAATCCAAGAAGCTCACAGAAGGACAAATAAGTGAAGACAGAAATAAATCTCATTCTCAAAGTCACTTGTGTCAGTTTCAGGAGTAGAATTCGGATTATTGTCAGCGATACCCAGGCACTTTTATTTTCTTCAGACCCTAGGTTTTAATTTAAATGACACTTTCCACATAGAATTTGATCAATTTATTTAAAAATTAATATTGATTATTTACGTTGATTATACAATAGAAATAATTACATTCTTTTCTAAGCTTCTTCTTTGCATGTCGATATTTTCTTTAGCTTGGAATTGATCGGTGGTTTGTGAGGGCACATTAAAATTTTTTTTACTCAAATTAATTAAAAATTATCAGGATCACATAGAAACTTAATGGCTTTAAAAAGTAAGCCCGGGAATGATCTGGAAGTTTGCATGCATTATTTTGATTCTTCTTTTCTTTGTTAGGAAACTCCCCGCCCGCTGGTTCTGGCAGACCACGTAGCTTATTATGGTGCAGTTTTGTCAAGGGAATATTGTGCAATCTTTAGAGAAAACCCTAGTTTTAAGTATTTTTAAAATTGCTTAACATCCATTTTATGCATTCAAAGAGTAATTACATGCATTTTAATAGAAACAAATTTAAAATAGTCAAAATTTCAATTGCATATTATTTTTAAGCATCAATCACCCTAAATAAGTTAAGGGCCAATTATGGTCTACTCTAGACGTCAGTCCCAATTCCTCAAAACTTAATTAACAGCTCACCCATCTGTCATAAAATATTGGATACATTAATTTTAAAGTGCCTAGGTAGTTAGCTGGCCCTCAAATTTAGACTCGGGTAAGTCTTGGTGATGCATTAGCTAGGTTCTAAAACTTCATATTTCCTTTTAGCTTCATATATTCTACAAACAAATCATTAAATGTAGAATCTAATTCTTCAAAAATATTCTGTTTACATATTTCTTGATAATCAAAATCTAACTCTCCTATGACCTAAAGCAGTCATTTCAAATTAAAATTTATTTAAGGGTCATGTCTTAAGTTGATAGTTTTCATGAATAAACATATGAGGTCCGTTTAAGGCACTAAGTTTTTATCATGCTAGGACTTTGCGAGTGCTCTCAGGTAGCTCTTCCTGTGCATTAAGTTGTTCAAGTTTTGCTCTCTATTCCATCAGATATGATCTCCACGTGTTTCAGGGAAGTTTTCCTCGGCTTTCTTTATTTTATTTTCTTTTTCTTCTGGTGGTTTGCATTTCTTTTGCTTCAAGGGGTTCTGTCCGATAGTGTGGCTGCTAATTATGCAAATCTTATGGATCCAGGATTTCTAAATGCTCTGAATAAATCTAGATCATTCAAGGATGTAATTTATGGGACTTGTTCCTCTAAGTCATTTCCTCATCTTAGCCATCCACTCATTGTAGTATGAATTCCTTGTGGATTTTTGAAGAGGAAGTTCTGGCTTTGATTGAGTCATTTCTATTTGCTCTTGTAGGAAAATTTACGGCTAGGAGGCCTAAACTTGAACTCATTCATCAATTTTTCTTCATTCTGAAACTGTCCATGAGTTTTTTTGTTACTTTACTTGACTTTCAGCGCAATAGTCATAATTTTCACAAAACATAGGTTTAAATTTTCATAGTTTTAATATTTTAAAACATTATGATTTTATAATTCAAAATTATATTAGTCTCAAAAAGATTCAATTGAATAATTGATTAGAAACAATAATAAAAATCATAAAATGGAGATTATTTCAGGTAATTCCTTTACCCTTTATCATTGGAGAGAACAAGGTGGAGGTTCTAGTAAACACAAGTAGAGTTCAAGCATTAAGACACAATTAAACAGATTAGAAAGAGTAAAACTTATGCATCAAAACTCACATGAATGGCAATACAGAAGCTATTACTCATTAAGTGGCAATATAGTAAAATATTTTACATAGAAATTTATGTTCTTTGAGACAAACGAGCACAAATACTGGTACATATATTTTGTTTGTGGTCATTGGAGACTAACGAGCAAATAAACTGTGGACATAAATCCTCTATGGAATAATTGTTCATGGAGATTCATATAAAAATTTCATTAACATTCAATTTTTTTTATTGAAATTTAGACTTCGTTGGTGATGGCTTTCTTGTTGCTTCTCAAAGTAATTTTTTTAGTACAAAAATTATATTTTTTTGATTAAAAAGTTGCTTTGAGAAACAATGAAAAAGACGTCCCAAATGAAACCTTATGCTCAATAACTAAAGTTGGTGAACACAAATTCAATAAAGAAAAATTGCTGATAATAAATTTCTATATAAGTTTGTTTTAAAAGAAATTCCATTCAGAATTTCTGTCTATATATATATATATATATAGTTTAAATATTTTCTGAAGGATCAGTTGTGAAACCTTCGGCCACCAGAGCCTGCTTCTCGTTGACAGTTGAAGTAGACGGCGGCGACCGGCAAGGAAAGGTTGTATTCTTGTGCAAAGCTCCTTGTGCTGAAATTGTGCCTTAGGTCTGGCTCGAACACCGTGTTTCTTCCAAGCTGCCGGAAGAGCATAAAAACAATGCGGTGAATCCCCATCATCGGCCGAGGGCTCTCGTAGCTGATCAACTGCCTACCTGTATCCCAGTTTCGAATATGCATCAACATGTCACCAAACACCCCTCCAATTTAATTACTACATATTAAAGTATGCAAATTTTCTGTTAGAAGTTAGAGTGCTTCACTATCAAAATAAAATTAGTAATTTTGGGTATGGACGTGTTGCTGATGGCAGTTGGGCAGCGACGACGAGCAGCGCGTGGCAGCGGCAGAGGTGGCAGGTGGAGTAGACGACGACAGCCAGTGATCATGGTGGAAGGGATCCACAACAATTTTGGGTAGCGGGCAGCATCAGCCATGACATGGGTAGCCCAGGGGCGGATTCAAAAAAAATTTTTTTTTTCATAATGGTTAAAATTTTAATTAATTGAGTGGGGCATTAGGGTTGGGGTGTCAATATTGGACCCGACCCAAAAACTTGACCCAAAATTTTTGGATTTGGGTTGACCCGAACCCGAAGCGGGTCGGGTTCGGGTTCAGAAAATCGACCCGTTTGCAAAACCGGATCGGGTTTGGATTGACCCGGAAACGGCTGCCCCGCGTTGACTGCCCCGGCAACTCGGTCTTCCTGCTGCCCCGCTTTTCCTGCCCCATCTACCCTGCATTGCCTACCCTGGCTACCCCGTTTGCCCACATGACCGAGTGGTGCCTGGTCCGCATCAGGCGAAGAGCGTGACGCGCGTAGCCTGCCCGAGTCACGTCGCGCGTGCACGAGTCGCATCGCCTCCTGACGCCTGCCTCGCGTTGCCTGCACCACTGCTGCTGTCCCGCAGGCGGCTGTTGCCGTGTCCTGCTATCAGACAGCCGGAGAACCGAACTCGAAGCGGGTCGGGTCGGGTTGACCCGAACCCGAAGCAGGTTGGGTTCGAGTCCGAAAAATCAACGCGTTTGTAAAAATGGGTCGGGTTGACCCGAACCCGAATAGTGTCGGGTCAGTTCCGGGTTCAACCCGAACTCGAACTGTGACCCAAAATTGACACCCCTACATTAGGGTATTTGAGCAAGGCATTGGGGTAAAAAAAAATTTTTTTGAGGGGGTCAAAGTTCCAAGTATGTCATTTCTCTGGGCAATTTTTTTTTTTTTAATTGAGGGTGGGCGTTTGCCGACCATGGGTTGACCTAAGATACGCCCATGAGCGTTGGTGGCAATAGGCACGGTGTAATTTTTCACATTGTTGTGTTTTTGGAGTTAATTCAATTATTTCAAATATATTATATTTTTTGCAATTATTTTAAATCAAATAAAAAATAATAATAAAATATTAATTCTTAAATTAAACTAAATAAAAAATAATAATAAAATATAATTTATTTTATTCAACTAGATAATTTCAATTATTTTAAATATATTATATATATTTTCGCTACACTTCAATTTACTCTGCATTCTTTTTTTGGGCAGATCAAACATGCCTTAATCTACTAATACTTACAACAAAATAATACCTAACTACTAAATTCTTAAATCCTTTTACGCATAATTATAACTTTTCACTTAAATTTGTTGGACTATTTCAACCAGGTTAATTTAATTTTTAAATGATTCAAACATTTATCTCATCTTCTTTAGCCTAATAAATATTTATACTAGTGAGTTGATTTAAAAAATAATAAAAAAAGTTGTACCAGAAAGAAGCCCAAGTGAGAATTTGGAAATGTTTGGCGAGAAACAGATAAAGATAGGCCGTTTAGCCACGTGAAACAGAACCAACCATGCAGATTAAAGGAGTTTAATTTAATTAAAGTAAATAAAGATTTAATAAATTATTGGGATCTTAAATACGGATTAAAATTTAGGTAGGATGACATATTAATTTTTTATTTAGACTTTTTAACAGGGATATATTTGCCCAAATTATTTCATTAAATCTGAAATTTATTTGATAATTCCTAATTAACTATTTTATAAAAAAATTTCAGTTTTAAGGATTTAAATAAAATGTAGAAAAATACATATTGAAGATAAGTGATATGATTATCTTGAATCCTACTTCCTTGAGGATCTATTGAATATGAGATTTAGCCTAAAATAAGAGAAAACAAGGATTAAAGGAGATAATTATGTTGCTCAGTAATATCTTTAACAAAATTTGGCCTAAATCATGATTAAGGCTTCATTTGGGACGGCTTTTTTATTGCTTTCTAAAACAGAGTTTTAGTACAAAATTAAAAAAAATTGTACTAAAACTCCGTTTTAGAAAGCAATAAAAAAGCCGTCCCAAATGAAGCCTTAATCATGATTTAGGCCAAATTTTGTTAAAGATATTACTGAGCAACATAATTATCTCCTTTAATCCTTGTTTTCTCTTATTTTAGGCTAAATCTCATATTCAATAGATCCTCAAGGAAGTAGGATTCAAGATAATCATATCACTTATCTTCAATATGTATTTTTCTACATTTTATTTAAATCCTTAAAACTGAAATTTTTTTATAAAATAGTTAATTAGGAATTATCAAATAAATTTCAGATTTAATGAAATAATTTGGGCAAATATATCCCTGTTAAAAAGTCTAAATAAAAAATTAATATGTCATCCTACCTAAATTTTAATCCGTATTTAAGATCCCAATAATTTATTAAATCTTTATTTACTTTAATTAAATTAAACTCCTTTAATCTGCATGGTTGGTTCTGTTTCACGTGGCTAAACGGCCTATCTTTATCTGTTTCTCGCCAAACATTTCCAAATTCTCACTTGGGCTTCTTTCTGGTACAACTTTTTTTATTATTTTTTAAATCAACTCACTAGTATAAATATTTATTAGGCTAAAGAAGATGAGATAAATGTTTGAATCATTTAAAAATTAAATTAACCTGGTTGAAATAGTCCAACAAATTTAAGTGAAAAGTTATAATTATGCGTAAAAGGATTTAAGAATTTAGTAGTTAGGTATTATTTTGTTGTAAGTATTAGTAGATTAAGGCATGTTTGATCTGCCCAAAAAAAGAATGCAGAGTAAATTGAAGTGTAGCGAAAATATATATAATATATTTGAAATAATTGAAATTATCTAGTTGAATAAAATAAATTATATTTTATTATTATTTTTTATTTAGTTTAATTTAAGAATTAATATTTTATTATTATGGAAGCATTAAAGCCTCCTTAATTCCCTCCATGAATTTTGAATTTGAAATTCTTAATTCCCTTCATGAATTTTGAATTTCATAATTCAAACATCCCTTAATTACTTTTATAAAATATTTTTTTATTTTATTTTAATAATTATTTTTAAATTCTTGCTATTTTAAATTATTTTTAAATCTCTTTATTACTTTAAACTTTAAAAATTCATACCTTTCTCGTTTTAAATCCATTTTTGATGCACAATACTTGTTTTGATCGTATTTGAATTCTTCACGATTTGAAATCATATTTGTTTCAAAATATTAGGTATACCTATAGTTATTTTGAAAACAGCAAAAGAGCACTATTTTAAAAATATTCTATTATCGTATTTGAACTTCAAAAATGCACAACTTTCTCGTTTTAAATCCGTTTTTGATGCACAGCACCTTATTTTGTCCTTATTTGAATTATGAACGATTTGAGACCATTCTTGTTTAAAAATGATAGGTATATCTGCAGTTATTTTGAAAATAGTAAAAGGACACTATTTTAAAAATACCCTATTATTGCATTTAAACTTGTAAAAATCATATCTTTTCCGTTTTAAATTGAATTTCGGCGTGCAACCCCTTGTTCTTTTCAGAAAAATGAGGGATTTATTTTAAAATTATTTTCAGTATCCCTTGCGTTATTTTGAAAATAGTAAAAGGACACTATTTTAAAAATACCCTATTATTGCATTTAAACTTGTAAAAATCATATCTTTTCCGTTTTAAATTGAATTTCGGCGTGCAACCCCTTGTTCTTTTCAGAAAAATGAGGGCTTTATTTTAAAATTATTTTCAGTATCCCTTGCTGGCTGTTTGGATAGATTCCCGTTTGGATTGGCTTGAGGGATTATTTTAATATTATTTATATAATTACCACTATAATTATTTTGAAATTAAAAAATTATTTTGAAACCTTGCATAAATGACCAGTGAGTCTCCCCTATACTTATGTATTATAAACTCACCAATTTTTTAATATATTATTTTCTAAAAATTTATATATATGTAGGTATTTTGATTATTTTAAAATTACCTAAATTTGTAAATTCTAACTTTGGGAGATTCACCATATAAAATTTTAAACATAGCTTCTATGCATGAAGAGAAAATTATGGGGGAATGGATTAGTGGATGGTTGAGTCCCAACCATTTGCTAATCCCTTCATTAGGTGTTTTCATTTTTCTTGTTGTTCGTAACTTGCATGTGTAGGTTGCACCACGAGCACTTAGCTTAGGCTCTCCTAGATTTATGGATATGTGTGTTTACTACTTTTATATGTTTTCCATGCATTATTACCTTGAGGGTTAGTGTAAAACTCTATTTAAACCCATATAACGTAGTGACACCCTAAGGACAAAAATTAAGGACGCATCTAGCAAACTTAAAAATTTTTTAGGGCTTAGGTTAGATCACTGATTGACATGAAAACCTCAAGACTTAAACTTAGTGATATCATAAACCTCCTAGAATTTTCTAGGAATTTTTAGGATTCTTTAGACCCCTTAATTAACCAACCCTAATTAACCTGCAAAATAAGGCCCCGAGACCTTCTAAAAATTACAATAAATACACTTTAGGTCAAAAAATTACCCATAATACATCACGATGACTAGAATCTGATCCTTGACTTTAGATAAATAGGGATCCCTAGTTTGACTCAAGGTTGACCCTTAATTGGACCTTAGGTAAAATTTACCATTTTACCCCTAATAATTTATTAAAAATTATTAAAAATCCAAAATCTTTCGCAAACACTTGGAACCACTTTCTTAGATCATTCCTTACCTTTGGGGGTGATTCCAATCAGTTTGGAGCTGGTTTGGATCAAAACCATAAAAATAACCCTTTATTAGGAAATTTATAAATTCCCTTAAATACCCCGAATTTAGAAA